GTGTTCTGGACCTGCCATTACATATGGCGCTGGCCAGGGATTTCAAGGCATATATGAGTTTACTCACCAAAACGGATACATGGTAAGTGACATGATTTCCATGTTTTGGGGTCGTATAAAAAACCCGGGCTTTCCTTACTAACTATACTTTTTAAGGCTTTGGGTGGAGCTTGTCCGACAGTAGGGGCATCAGGAGGCTATATAACTGGCGGTGGCCATGGCCTGCTTTCCCCTGCCTATGGCCTCGGTGTTGATAATGTCCTTCAAATTAAGGTTGTGCTACCTAATGGGGCCTATGTCACTGCCAATCGATGCCAAAACCAGGATATTTTCTTCGCTGTCCGTGGTGGCGGCGGCGCCACCTTTGGTGTGATAGTAGAGACCACAACCCGCCTCTTCCCTGAAGTTCCTTTGCAGGTATGTTAACCTGATGCTATCAATGACCCCCGGATCCGCTATCATAGCTCCTATGTATGCTAATCGTGAACCTTTTCCTCATACAAGATGGCAGTTATCGCATTTAAAGCTACTTTAGACAAGGATGTGACTACTATACTAGTGGAAAATGGTGTAAAATGGGCAAACGACGGCTGGGGAGGATATGTTGCTGGCCTCGGGGACGGGTCAAGCATCATGTTGGCGATCACGCCGAAACTCACCCTCGACGAAGCAAAACTGTCCATGAAAGAACTGATTGACTTCGCCCTTCCTCGCAATGACGGCACACTTCGCTTCGGGGTGGACGTAACCACTGTTGCAAACTACTTTGAATTCGCCAATACCCCCGTGATGCAATACTTCAGTTCCTTAGTCAACGGTATTTCCATCGCGCAGGCCTCGCGTCTTGTTACCGATAAGAACTTCAAAAATAAAGGCAAACGACGAGAACTCATAGATGTGCTTTCGGAGATGCGCTACGGTCTTAATATGGTTACGCCTTATGCGGTTAACTTGCCCAACTCGGACAAACCTGGAGGCCCTGGAGAGGCATCCGTCACTCCTGCATGGGTAATTATTTCAGTGTTCTTTCTCTCCCCACCTGTTCCCTTCCCTTAGTGATTCCCACTAGAACTAACATATGATAAAAATACACAGAGAAAGGCAATCTGGCATGTTGTGATGCAGACAGCTTGGGATGTTGATGGCCAGACCGAACATCCCCCCGAATTTTTCGTTGACCGTTTCAGACAGGCAAGCGAGATGGTGCAGCCATTGCGCAACATTAGTCCAGACGGCGGCGCCTATCAAAACGAAGCCGATGCCTACGAGCCAAATCATATCGACAGCTTCTGGGGACGAAAGAATTACGACCGCCTCCTCAAGATCAAGAAGAAGGTGGACCCGAAAAACATCTTAACGTGCCATCACTGTGTGGGGGGCTAACCCAAATGATAGCCGCCTTAGCTGTTACCCAAAGCTATAGATAATTTTTTTCTTTTCCTCTCTTTCTTTCGTTTCATTTTTCGATTCTTTTTTTTTTTTTTTTTTTGGCTTCTTTTTCTTCATTTTACAGCTAGTGAACTTTGCAATCTCAGGGACTGCAACAACATTCTCATATAGAATTCAGCTGACATCACAAGCAGATATCTTTTCTAACTTTACATTTATAATGGGCATTTAATTTGGTATATTCTGATATTCCAGGTGTTGGTTAACAAATTTTTTGTTGTTCTTCCTTTTTCAGTAACTAATTGGAAATTTGGCATTTGTATATCTACATTTCCACGCTGTCAACAAAGCACATTCGCAATTTTCCTAAATTCCGTTAATATATCAACCTCAGTGGTTGGGTAAGCAGTTGATAAAAATCATTTAAAAAAATGACACTGAGATCATCAAAAAAAAGATGATGATTGTGAGAATATATTGCTTTGCAAATCTGATCGATTCAGTTTTATTTTCCCTTTCCATTCTTATGCGTACATCTTTTAAATCGGAGCATTACATTATACGGAAGGGAAAAGTCGGATTTTCATTGAAAATGACTTGGATCAGCTCTTCACTGCCCTTCTTTCCCCCTTGCGACTTAATGGCTGATTATTATTTTTAAACCTATCCCATCTCCGGTTCGATCGTTCCCGTTCTTCTTTTCCATGTATTAAAATGTGCTGCAAGTATGATAGCAGGCATTCTGGCTTGGATTAATCAATCCCTGACTTTTAAATAGACCTCCCAGTGCAACTCTGTCCTTAATCTACATTGTTCGATTTCCTGTTTACCAAAATAGTGACCCCCGTGCCTCGCTCAATGACCAAACTCATTGTATCGTCGAGTTTCCATCAGCGGAACGAAGTTGGACCGTATCCCCTAAGGGTTTTCTTTAACGAGCTTATAGCCCCGTAAAAGTTTAAGGAGTTCCATAGACAACCCGCTCTCAAGATAGGTTGTTTCTCATTGTCTGTATGGGATAATATTAAATGGGAAATATTGGATGGGCAATAAGCTAAATCTGATTGTGGCCTGCAAATAAATCAATATTTATGTCTTGATCGGTCTCCCAGTCCTCTGGCTATGAGCAACCATGGACATAGACGATAGTCTGAGACAAAGTAATATGTTAGTGTGTTCTTTCATGTATATTCCTATTCTTATTAAGTGCTTCATTACAAGTAAAATATGCCCCTGTAGATCAATCATTGTGATTGGACTTGATTCGTCCGTTCACACAATGCAAAAGATAGCAGCAAGACTGGTATAATTTTTAGCAAAGAGACTCTCTCCTATAATATAGTAAACAGAGCTAAGAAGAGTAAGGGTTTTAGTACTCCACTTTATCTCTTCAAGAGCTCTATCCCGATATAATCACAAATTATCATGGCAAGAGATGATGCTTCGAGGTAAACTTGTAAAATAACTAAATCAGATTTTGATTATTGTAATTGTCATTTTAAAACCCGTGTCATCTGAATGATTCACGAATATGGAACGCTGCGAATAACATACGTAATACCATAGCGTCTAAAATACGTCTGATTCAGCCAGTGGTAAAATTCGAGATCCGGATCAAAGCCATAGCGTTCCAGACATAATCGAAGGTATTCAAATTCTAAGTAGGTCCACCCCCTCATGTCAAGATACAAGAACAAATAGTCGGCAGCAGACTTTACTGCCAATATGGCGGAACCGTCCGGGTTTTCGATGAGTGATGATGCCCAGCCGACTGCGAAAAGCATAGGTAATGCGAATACTCTTAATTTTATACTCTCAAACAGGATCAACTTTTGTCCGGGTCTGAGAGCGTCTTGGAGTACTACCTCCCGGACATTACTGCTCTGCAGGCGGTAGAATCCAGGGCACTGAAGCCAGACAGGATGCGGAACATTCAGGGAGTCGGTATTATCCAAACACTGTGACGCTATTGAGAGGATTTCCGTATCCTCTTCAAAACCAACGAGGGCGATTTCCGTAGTTGGATTGCAATGGTGCGCCTTATTCGACAAGAGTGAATATACAAAGCCGGTTGCGAAAACGTTAACAACTTGACTATCGATTCCGAGTCTCGATTCATATTTGTATATTCGCCCTGACGCACGGGCAAGAGCACGCTGGAGCTCATCTTTCACAGATTCGTAGTCTGATGCTATGAGTTATAGGCTATAGTTATTGGGGGTTTTCCTGAGAGATATGGGGTGGGCACACAGGAAACTTAAACAATACTTGCCGGCCATTGCGTTTTCAACAAAATTGTTGGGCCAAAGATATGCAGTCACACTCTATGGGCGGGTTATGCCTTCCGTGTCTCGTTTCAGAACAGTACGATAGGGATATATAGCCGAAAAAAAGAGCAGAAGAAACACAGAAGCAGTGAAGCAGCCGTTCTGGTTTGGGTTTGAAGACAAAGCACGGTAGGGGTTAGAGGATGGAGGAAGACTAGAAACTGGCAGAGGGACATGTGTTGCTTAAATAGTATTCTCATGAGTACCAGTGGCAGTGGAAGGTTCATATCAATGAAATATTCTTCTTGTTTTTAATATACGAGTAGCTTTCCAATGCAAATATGGCGTTTGTAACGGACCTCTGAGCATTGTAAGTGGTTGTAACTCATTCCGGACGCAGGATTGCTCAGCGTAGGGATAAAGCCGGACTGGGGAGCTGACGTCGAGGACTAGCAGTCGGATGTTTGAGTCGTCGTCTAACATCCCGCTCGTCAAGCCGGAGTAAGCCGTCAATTTGACCCCTGGATTTTCCCCGAATATAACTGTCCCGAATATCACAAATAATGATGGTAGTTCCTGGAGAAGGGAATGACCGAAATTGACACCAAACATATTATCAAACAATGATGTGCTGTTAATGAATTATGAGCATTGAACTGTATAAAATTTTGCGCTCAGCTGGATTCCACAGTGGAGCGCCTTGATGGGTTCAAGGAACCCACTTCTGACCACTGGAATGGGCCAAACTGAAAGACTGTAAATTTTCTCGATCTCCAAAATTCCCGTTTAATCCTTGAAGCATTAGCTTTGTTTTCTCCGGGATAAAAATGCGAATACTGTATGTTAGAAAGAATTGGGGGAAATGGTTGGTCCCGTGGATGCGGATATGATCCATGGATGGTAAGACCCGATGATTCCTTTGCGGCTGTTTGCGACCCATGGAGGTTTTTCAGACTCTGGTCCATGAAAAACCAACGAATAAAGTCATAAACGAAGTGAGAAACGGTTCCATGCGGCCTATTCAACTCCCTTCATCGGTGATGTTGAAGTTGAAATGTCAAGCAGTACGAGTAGTTGACGATGACGATGGAGCCGCGGTGCCGAGCAAAGCCAAGCCCGCGTGCTAAATCGGTGACATAATCAGGCCCTTGCCCCAAAACACTCTAGCGTTGCTTCCTGTTGGTTTCCCAACGTTCTCCAACAATGCAACAATGAGATCTACAACTTCAAACTTGAAAAAACCACCAACATCCGCAACAGCATCCACCGCCTCTCCTCCTCCTCCGCTTTCCTCCGGTGCCTGCCCCCCCACTTGTTTGCCATTGAGCTTTGTCTCGCTTCACAATGCTTTCCAGAATAACACGGGTGCGGCAAGTTGCGCCTCTGTGCCGTAAGGCTTTCGTCCCGGTAGTAAGGCGGAGCGTCACGACCGATGCTGCTTCCGCGCATGCTGAAGCTATCCCCGCTGTAAGTGCTCGATAGCTTTATTCGCACCCTAGCTGTCAGTATGTAGTTATGTGGGCATCTAATCGATATTCCGTTGCATCAGGAAGAGGACAAACCCTTCACAGTCAAGCTCTCCGATGAGAGCTTCGAAACATATGAGCTTGACCCTCCTCCGTATACCCTCGAGACCACGAAACAGGAGCTAAAACAGATGTATCGTGATATGGTTTCCATTAGGTATTTTATGCTGCGCTGTTGCACCGTTTAGCTCTAATGCTCTTTGTCTAACACTGACCCAGACGAATGGAGATGGCCGCCGATCGCCTCTACAAAGAGAAGAAAATTCGAGGATTCTGCCACTTGTCGACGGGACAAGAAGCGGTTGCGACCGGCATTGAACACGCCATTACTAAGGACGATAAGTTAATCACTGCCTATCGATGCCACGGTTTTGCACTCCTGCGTGGTGGAACGGTAAAATCTATTATCGGAGAACTTCTCGGGCGCCGAGAGGGCATTGCATACGGAAAAGGTGGCTCTATGCATATGTTTGCCAAAAACTTCTATGGGGGCAACGGCATTGTAGGAGCTCAGGTCCCCGTTGGTGCTGGTCTGGCTTTTTCCCAACAATACAATGATGAGAAAACTACTACCATCGCTCTATATGGCGATGGAGCATCCAACCAAGGTCAAGTTTTCGAGGCCTTCAACATGGCTAAGCTGTGGAATCTGCCTTGCATTTTTGGTTGCGAAAGTGAGTCTCTTTGCTTCATACATACCATTTGGAGATTAACAACATCGATGCTAAATGACCATACTCTTTTCCAGATAACAAATATGGCATGGGAACGGCAGCAAGCCGCGCCGCAGCCCTTACCGATTACTACAAGCGCGGCCAATACATCCCCGGCCTGAAAATCAACGGAATGGACGTCCTGGCGATCAAGGCTGCCGTCCAATACGGGCGCGAATACACCACCTCCGGTAAGGGTCCTCTTGTCTTCGAATACGTCACTTACCGATACGGCGGACACTCCATGTCCGATCCCGGAACCACATACCGCACCCGAGAGGAGATCCAACGGATGCGCAGCACCAACGATCCGATTGCAGGCCTTAAGCAGAAACTGCTCGATTGGGGCGTCACGAGTGAGGAGGAGTTGAAGGCCATTGATAAGGATGCTAGGAAATACGTTGATGATGAGGTTGCAGAGGCTGAGCTGATGACCGAGCCCGATGCTACGCCGCGTATCTTGTTTGAGGATACATATGTCCGTGGCAGTGAGCCAGCATGGACTCGTGGGCGAACGGTTGATGAGACTTTCTACTATTAAACACCACCACCACCACCACCACCAAGAACAACAACAACAACAACAATGACGACGCAGACTTACAAACCCTAACCTCTCCTCCTCCCAACTATGTCTTCCTTAAATTCTCTTTTTGAGCTACTTCTTCTATTTCTTCATTGGTGAGTGTAACACTTGTAACTAGAACTAAACGCTAACGACGGACTGGATTTTTATGGGCTGTGGTGTGGAAGCAAGCCACTTGGAAATTCCATTCCATTCCATTTTTTTTTCTCATTCACTTGACCTGATCGTCGGTCTTTGTTTTTGTTTTATTGCATTCCTGTTTTTTCTTTCTCTTCTTTTCCTCCCCCCCCCTCACCCCCCTTATTTTTTCGCTTCCTTTTTGTAGCCCTCCATCTGTCTTAATGTTTTCTCTCGCTCCGCTGTGTATTTCTAGCTCCACTCCCACTGAAAAGGGGGCAAAAATAGAAAGGAAAAGAAAAAGTTCTAGAAAACCCTGTCTTTCCAATATATTCTCTCCGTCGAACCAAACCCCCCCCCCCC